TCTCACCTGCCACTGGTCACCCACAGGCTTATGGAACAGCAGGGCACAGGACATCAGGAAGGTGCAGAGTCTCACCTGCCACTGGTCACCCACAGGCTTATGGAACAGCAGGGCACAGAACATGAAGAAGGTGCCGAGTCTCACCTGCCACTGGCCGCCCACAGGCCTGTAGAGCACCACGGGTGCTTCCTGGCAGTCCTGGAGCACCCACAGGCCCTGGGTCTCCTCGAAAGCCACGTCCCACACTTGGTGCTGGAGCGCCAGCTGCTGCCTGTACACCAACTGCTGTCTGCGGGCGTCCAGCTGGAAGATGTAGACCACAGGAGTGCTTGCCATGAAGAAAGAGAGCACGATTACTAGGACGGCAGGCCCACAGTCACCGCTCTGCAGCCAGCACCCCAGACGGCGCAGCCCTCACTGGGGCCACCTCAGGAGAGCCTGCGCTAAAAGCTCCAGCTGCGCCACTCCCAAGTGCCAGCGCCGGGGAAACCATGGGGTGATGCACGCTCGTGGTTTAAGTCCTAAGCTCTGGGGAGGCTCATGGTGCAGCAACAGATAACCACACGGTACAGGCGGGCAGGGCGGGAGGACGCCTGCCCTGGGCTCAGACACAGGCCTCCTCTCACATCTGCGTACTTCTAGAACGAGCTAAGAGACCTCCCCAAGTTGTCATAAGGACAAGATGCAAAGTGCCGAAAGCACCAAATAGAATACCTTTCCTGACACACAGAGGCTGCTCGGGAAGAAGCAGCAGAACTGCACTCCACCCCAAACCCACCTTGTCAGCACCGCCAACCCCAGGGGGTCCCATCCAACCAGCCCCGAGCAGGGAATGAGGTGATGCCACCGCGACTGGCCCAGGGGAAAGTCTGTCATCTCAGAAGGCCAGGCGGAGGCTGCCTGATGCTCTTTACGCCAGGGGAGTTCAACGTCAGGCTGCAGAGCGCTGGCTGAGAGGAGCCCCCGCCCTCACGCAGCAGCAGTCATCAAAAGTGACATTCTCAGGGGGAGGTGCTGGACCAACACCACCACCGTCCAGGACATCTTCATTAAGGACGTGGGCCAGTGGCCAACCCCCTAACTCTTCCCCCTGCAGGTCTGCAGAACCGGAGGCCGTGGAGGTGCCGCCGCAGCTTACCCGTCGCACAGAAGCGCCACGCAGTTCTCCTGGCACCAGAACGCAATCCTGGACGCAGCAAACCTCTGAAAGAAGCAGTCCATTAATTTCACGCCAGCTGCAGGGGCCCGACGCTGGGCGCTCTGATCCAACAAGAGCAAAACCGAAGGACGCTCACGCCCCCACATACCAAGGAAGAGGAAATAGCGCTGGAACGTTCTGGAATCAGCAGAGAAAGGAGGGTAGCCGATTCCCTGTTTCCCATGCAGATGACAAAAGCCCCTCAGTGGCTCTGGCACTCCCTACAGGGCCTGTGACAGCCTCCAAAGCCAACAAAATGGGTCAGCCAGTGAGGAGAGGAGGGAGCGGAGGACACAGGGAAAGGAAGAGACGAGAGCTACACACACCACTGCCCTGGGAGCTCCCACGCTTCCTGGCAGAGGAAATAGTAAAAATGAAGAAGAGGCCGGGCACAGTGGCTCACGCCTTTAATCCCAGCTACTCAGGAGCCTGAGGGGGAGGTTGCTGTGAGTCGAGATAGCACCACTGGACTCCAGTCTGGGCAAGAGTGAGACTCCATCTCAAAAAAAAAAATTTTTTTTTAAATGAAGGAAACTTCCAGGAACCTGAGTCCATGTGAAGCACGGAGGAAAAGGCCTGGTCCTCTCTTACACGGCTGCCTGGCACGGGGCAGAGGCCACACCACACAGTTCTCTAGGAAACAGAACAGACCATTTGGCGGGAAACTTCGCCAAGGCCTGGGCTTTCAGGGCATCATGAGATTGCTCCAAGCTGGCCGGAGAATGCTGGGGTGGGCCTGGTCCCACCCCTACCCCACCTGGCTGGCAGACCCACAAAGGTGCATGCTCAAGCACTTCCACTCCTTCCACTTCAGAAAAGGATTAGAGGTCTTCCTGTACGTTAACTGTTTGCATGCAACGGTGAGACAAACTATTTCCCACTGACGTGACTAGCCACCTTCAGAATTTGAAATATGAGATTTCCCTCACACAGGAAGAAGTCTGGCATTGAGAGCAAACGTTTCCAATGGCGAAGTGCCTTTTCACTCAAGCCAAGCGACTGCAGGTGCCTACAAGCACTCAGTCGCCCAGGAGTGAACAGAAGCAACTACCTGGGGGGCCTGGGGGTCCACCAGCTCCTGTAGACTGGCCAGGTGACAGCAGTGCAGCTGGCGGCCGCTCCTGTACTCCCAGAGCCTCAGGGTGCCGTCCTGCACACACCAAACACACAGGTTAGCACACGGTCGCAGGGCTTCCATCAGGCAAGGTGACAGAGAGGACAGCTGCATGTGGTCAGGGGTCCACTCAGTGACAGCCATGCCACCCACCTTCAGGAATTAAAGGCTCTCTGCTCGGACTGCGTAAATCACTCATGCAAATCATCAAGAACAAGAGTGGGGAAAGGAAGGTGACCGACTGCCTGTTTCTAGAGTGCCAATATGCCCAGGCAGATGACAAAGCCAATGAGGCAGATCCCAGCAAAATGAGCCAAGGCCACCAGACGGCCAGGTTGTCATCTGCCAGGAGGCCAGACCACATCTGCTGTGCCCGGGCCAGGCGTAGACACGGGAATGCACACAGGTGCAGACACTTCACTTCAGCAATCATGCATTCCCACAGGGAGACACGCGTGGCCTCACGAGCGCGTGGCCACTGTTCCATTTCACTAAGAATGACAGGAAAGACATGGTCATCGGCAACCATTCCATGGCGACTGGTACAACCCTTCGGGAAGCCAACACGGGAACCAAGAGCCTCCACGCTCTAAAACCACCATAAATGGAAAAAAGGGTTTCTCTTTTTTTCTTGGTTTTATCTGTTGCTATTTTTTTGTTTAATTGAAATGGGGTCTATGCCACGCGGCCCACTGCAGTGCAGTGGCTATTCACAGGCTTGCTCCCGGGTCACTGCAGCCTCTGACTCCCAGGTCCAGGCAATCCTACTGCCTCAGCCTCCGAGTGGCTGGGACCACGGTAGGAGCCACCACACCTGGCTTAAAAAAATTCATTACAGCACTAATAAGTGGAGAGAAATAAATCAATACTCACTAAATCTAATGAGAGAGTGTCTGTGCACTACCTGTGAGTATTTTTAAAAGACCAAATGAAAAAGATGAAAAGTAAATACCCCCAACAGCTAACAGTAGATGCATATCCTCTGGGTGCTGAGGTAAGAGTGGATGTATGAATGCACACACACACACAGGCACACACACACACATGCACACACACACACCTTGCCACAAATGTGGCAGATAAACATGGAGACTAACACACACATCTACAGGCATTTCACTCACCTCCAAACCTCTCTACGATGACAAGAAAAAGATATTTAATAACCATGAACCCACTAAGACAAACACAACAGGTAAGCAGAGAAGGCAGCCGCGGAGAGACGGCAAGGAAACCTGGGGACTAGAGGCCGGGGAACAAACACGCCAGCCACAGAGAAGCCCGAGAGGTGCCAGGACCTTCCAAAGACCAAACTGGGCCAGGCAGCTGAAGGCCAAGGTGGTGAGGGGAGCTGTCAAATGTCTTTCCAAAGAGAAGCAGGACCTCCCCGATGCATCCTCACCCCCAAACTCCAGGCCAGCAGAAGGCTCTGGGGAAACGGAGCCGAGAGGCCCTGTCTCGGGGATGCCAAATACCCACTGAGGAGAGGGCCACCTAGCCCCTTCGCGCTCACCTCCCAGAGCTCCAGGGGACAGACCTGGGCAAGAGTGAAGGCCGGGACACTGACCACCCAGAAGACACTGACTGACCCACACGTTCTACGGGGTCCACAGGCAAGGGGCTGTTGCCCACACTCAGACACCTGCTCTGAAGCCCCTCGGGCCCCATCCTGGGCGCACGCATCCAGCCTCTGAGGCCGGCTGGTGCTGATTCCCACCACACACAGGCAGACGGGATCGCCAGACATCCGACGAAAACCTCCAATGAGAAAGGCGGCAACACAGTCCAGAGAAGGGAATCAAACACAACGCCAAGAACAAATCGAAGAAAGACAAGCCCATGCTCATCTCAGGAGATAAGAGACACGTGCGCTATCCGAGAATGGGTGGCTCAAAAAAGAACATGCCGAGGGCAAGAAAGAACTGAAGATTCAAAAAAATCCTAATAAAACTCAAGTCTCCACAGAAGGCTGGAAGTAAAGCTGAGGCAATCTCCCAAGTAAGACTATTCCTAAAGGAGTAGAAACACGAGATTGAACAGGAAAGAAAAGAAATAGAGAATTATGGCCAGGCATGGTGGCTCTCGCCTATAATCCCAGTAGGTGGAAGTGGGTGGATCGCTTGAGGTCAAGAGTTTGAGACCAGCCTGGCCAACCTGGCAAAACCCCATCACTACAAAAGTATAAAAAGTGAGCGGGGCGTGGTGGTGTGTTGCCTGTAATCCCAGCGACTCGGGAGGGCTGAGGTGGGAGGATTGCGCGAGCCTGGGAGGCAGAGGTTACACTGAACCGAGATCACGCCACTGCACTCCAGACTGGGTGACAGAGCGAGACCCTATCTCAAAAAAAAATAAGAATCAGAGAATTAAAGTGGTTTAACTAACACAAGCTTTAGAAAAAGCCAGCAGGAAGCGGGGATAGAGAACAGAAAGCAATTACGTAAGAAAATGCCCCAGGTCGGAGGACACTGGAGATCACTGGCTGCACAGCCAATTCCTCTCCGGGGTCCACCAAGTCACCTCAGTGGCTTCGACATTGCACACTGGGGCAGAGAAGGTCCTCCAGGCAGGACAGCCCCGCTGTCACCCCACGGACCCACAGCAGACGGCTGCAGGCGTCTACGGGAAGAGGGCAGGGAAGCCCACACGAGCAACCAGCGGGAGAGCAGAGCGGGCAAGGCCTCTCAAGCTCCGAGGGAAACCATTTCAACCAGGACTTGTCCGCCAAACTAACAACCAGGCCTCAAAAGGAGATTAAAGGTATTTCCAGAAAGGCAAAGTCAGAAAACATCCTCCTCCTGCCTTCTGGCAGCGACCAGATGACACGTTCCACTCAAACAAAGCAGAAAGCCCTGAGGGACAGATGGGGCCTGGGGAGGCCTCTCTGCTCGTGGAAGATTCTCCTCACTATCATGAAAAAGACTGGAAGGTGCACAACAAAACGCTGACGAAGCCTGACCCTGACCCTGACCCTCTGGGGACTGTGGCCACACTGTTCTTCTTCTCTCAGGGCACATGGCTGTGCGTTAATTTAAAGAGCAGGAACAGGAGGCTTCGAACGAAGCCCAATCAGAGAAGAAATGTAGGAGCGGCCGGAAGGTCCATCAGCCGTCCTGCCACACCACACAAGGGACCAACACAGACAACACAGGGAAGGGCAGCGGAGAGGAAGGTGGTGGGACGCGGGCAACAATTCCGCGAGAGGACAGAATCAGACCCTGTGCGGAATCCGAGGCCCTCACTTTGGCAAAATCACTAACAGTCCTTCTACTGTATTCCTCAGGGGAACACGTCTCTCATCACTGGACTGTAAGGCTCCCAGGACCCAACTGCTGGGACGCAGAAGTTGCAGCCAGCAAGTAAACACGCACTGTGGTAACCCGGGTGCGGGGGCTTAACCCTGTGGTCCCAGCTACTTGGGAGGCTGAGGAGGCAGATCGCTTGAGCCCAGGAGTTTGAAACCAGCCTGAAAAAATGTAGCAAGAGCCCATCTCAAAAAGAAAAAAACAATGCAGCCCGTAATGGGATGGACTGAGACCCCTCCAGGAGTCAGACAGGCCCCTGTCTACTGTGTCTACCTGAGATCCTGATCGCCGATACTATCGCAGATGGAGCAGCCGCCCTCTCAGAAGGGAGCCTTCCACACACCTGTTCTAGTTCATTCCACGCGTGAACACACACGCACCTGCACACGCCCCACACAGTCCTGAAGGAGCAGCACGAGCGGGGAGCGAGCCGCAGGCAGCTCTAAGATTCGAAAACAAGCACCATCTAGTGGACAGCCGCGGACACCCAGGGGCCAGCGATCCAGAGGGGCCAGTTCCAGGAGGCGCCTACCCCACCCCCCCCGCAGGCTCAGGAATCCAGAGGTGAGTGACGCTGGGCAGAACACTTACCCCAGAGGAGGACAGAAGCAGTCCGGGCTGAGTGGGCACCACGGAGATGCGGCTCACAAACCTGTGAGGGCGAGAGAGAGAAGCAGAGCCAGCTAGCCCGGCACCCGCGGGGACGGGAAGGCCTGGGGAAGCCGCCTGTTCATCTAAGGAAGAGAAGCCTCTGCCCCAAACCCCTGACCCAATAAAAACAGCCACATGGGAAGTATCTGTTAACCCTGGTTAGGGTTACCCAGGTGAAGGCCCCTGGACACGATCGGGAAGGTGAGTGAGGTCATTCCTGGGTCCCCAACAGCACAGCAAGCTCTAACCCAGGCTGCTCCTCAGCCATGCCTGCCAGAGACCCAAGCACCCCTGTGCCCCTCTGCAGCCCCCTCTGCAGCAGCTCTGCTCAGCAGCACCTCCATAGGCCCCCCAGCACCCACCCTGGCCCAAGGCACCTGCACTGTGATGAAAGGAGCCTTAGGGGAGACTCAAAGACACAGCACACAGGGAGGAGGGAGGAGGGAGGAGGGAGGAGAAGCAGCCAAGCCCCCAGATTCCTATCAGGGTCCGACAGCCCCTCAACAACAACTCTGAGTGACCTGGCCAGAGAGCTGTCTCTGCTGAGCCCGGCCCAGTCCTCCTGTGAGGGCTTGGCCTGCAGCTGCACAGGACCCAAAGTCATAGGTACCCTCCCATCAGCACAGCCACGAAGAGTGACCCGAGCAGCCCAGCTCGCCCGGAAACCCATCTGGCTTGGGCACCTACAAGGGTGACAAGGCTCCTTTTCTTCCCGCTCTAACAGTGACCTCAAGCAATCCCTCATGCACAGGATTCCCAGGGACCCTGGAATGGGGTGGCTCGTGAGCCTCACTCCATCTCCGCCAGTCATGGCCTCTGCTACCTTGAGCTAGCCATGGCATGAGCTGGGCCCAGTCCTGCAGCCACCGCCCTGCATGGCACCAGAGCAGTGACAGCAGCCCACGGCCCAGGACAGATAGGGCACAGGACGCCCCATGCAGAGGGTACGAGTGGTCTCACAGTTCTCAACAGTTTGAAAGGGGTTTCACCATGGGTTTGAAACAAAAATCTCAAAAAATTCTTCTTCTAATCACTGCAGTATCTACTGAGTGCCTACTCATGCCAGGCACCACGCTGAGGGCTGCACACAGCAACAGGCCCAACCGACCCCCAGAACCACTCAGACGCAGCGGGAGTCGGCCAGTGAACCAACCGATACTGCAGTGTCAGCAAAGGGTACGGAACAGCGCCATCCAGCAGAAACGCAGCTCCAGCCACACACGGGGGCCACGGGGGTTTGTTTTCAACTTGCCAGCCACTGTGTTGAAAAGTAAACGAGCAGGCCGGGCGCAGTGGCTCACGCCTGTAATCCCAACACTTTGGGAGGCCAAGGCAGGGAAATCACGAGGTCAGGAGAGCAAGACCAGCCTGGCCAACATAGTAAAACTCCATCTCTACTAAAAATACAAAAAAAAGTAATCAAGTGTGGTGGCAGGAGCCTGCAGTCCCAGCTACTTGGGAGGCTGAGGCAGAAGAATTGCTTGAACCTGGAAGGCGGAGGTTGCAGGGAGCCAATATCGCACCACTGCACTCCAGCCTGGGCAACAGAGGGAAGGAGAAAAGAAAGGAAAGGAGGGGAGGGAGGGAGGGGAGGGGAGTGAGGAAGGAAAAGAGCTGTTGAAGTTAATTTTAATACTATGTTTTTACTCAATATATCCAAATGATGAGGCATTTCCCTAGAGGGGTGGGAAGTGTGTTCCTGTCAGCAGAAGCCTCCCTCACGTGCCTGGCGAGGCAAGGGAGCTGCAGACACCCCAGCTAGAGATGGCGAAGGGGAGGGGCCCAGGGGCTGCAGTCCAGAGAACTCCAGAGCTGGATCACTAGGGAACTAAATGCAAGTCAGAATAAGCTATCCCGAGGCACACATCAGTGACTGGCCTTCTTAAACAGGGAAATGTTTGCATCCGTTCAAAACCAGGAAAACGTAGGCAACCTCGGCATTGAATTCCCTCCCTCCAATTTCTTCCACTGCCTCAAATAATGTATTTTAAAACATTTCAGCCAATTACACTAAGCACTTTTCCTCTGTAAATTCTAATGAGCCTTTTGTGAGAGAGAGAGAAGCGGGCATTCAGGAACACCTCCACGCGGGTCCTGGCAGAACTTGTTTTGTGAGAGAGAAGCGGGCACTCAGGAACACCTCCACGTGGGTCCTGGCAGAACTCGCTGCCACGAGAGAGGCCACCGCCGGGCCGTAGAGGCTGCTTAATTCTTGGATAGCTGAAATCATGGAAGTTCGTCCTCGCTCCCAACACACCCACCGCCCACCAGCCAACAACGGCCGGGCATGGCGCAGGGGTCTCCACACTGAGACAGGGGTTTCCCAGAAACAAGCCCTCCCGTTCGATCAGGACCAATGGGAAGTCACCACACAGGCTACAGGTAACAGCGCAGAGTGAACCCCACCCTTTCAGGGCTTCTGCAGGCGGCACCCACGGCGCCTGTGGTGACCAAGCACCAGGGCTGCTGTCACCTGTGTGGGGCCTCGCCAGCTACAGTGGCACCTGCTGAGCTGCAAGCTGATGCTGTTTTCAAAAACAGCTTCTTTCTGCTGGAGGGGCAGGAAGGGGCACTCACTCTGTGTGCCCCAAGCAGAAGGACTCGATGCTGTGGGGCGCCGCGGCCCAGCTGACTCGGATCTTCTCGTCTCGGTCAGCAGTGAGGATGAAGCGGTCATCAGGACTCACAGCCTGCATCACCAGGGGCCAGAAAAGAAAAAGATGCTCACCTGAGTCTTCCTGAATCCAGTCCCTCATGGAAGCAGGCAGGGAGGCTGCAGCCTGGCTGCCAAGAGGACGCGGCCTTCGAGGACAGACCAGCTTGGCTCCTCCCCTCCTCCTGTCCCTGCGTCTAATCGCTGGCCCTCCTTCTCTCTCCCCAGAGGGTCCCCGACCACCTCCAGCCCTCACTCCTCAGTGCTAGAGCAGGCTTCTGGGGTAGGGCTGGGCCACCCCGTCTGCCCGTCTCCCGCATCTCGGCAAATCCAGGCCCCACTCCCATTTCCACCCGCCCCAGGCCTGCTGCACCCTCATGCCCAACACTGGGTTGCCTTCCTGTCACACATGTCCCCACACCCAGCTGTCACCAAGTCCCAGTGAGGTTCCCTTGATACCCCGCACTCGCCACTGTTCCTGACTGTCCCTGCACGCGTCCAATCCCAGCTCTAGCACCCAGGCTGTGGGCCTGGGCCCTCTGGAGCTCCAGGTGTTTGTCTGGACACATGGGGCAGGCAGAACGGGGGGACAGGGGCTGCTGGCAGCAGTGCTGAGGCGATGTTCCTACAGCGCCTGGCACAGCTCCGGGCCAAGGAGGCGAAGCCAGAGGCTCATGGCTGCACCTGCTCCTCCCACACCTTCACTTCCCATCGGGGCCACCCCACTGGCCACCTCCTGCCTCACCTGCCTTCTTCGTTCTCCCTGCTGCCTGCTTCACCTTCCTAAACCCTGTTCCCACCACTCCCCTGCTCCCAAATCTGCAGAAGGCTATCCCTGCTATGGGGGAGCCCCACTCTCCCCACCAGATGCTGGGGCGCAGACCGGGCAGATACTGACTCAGCCTGTACCCCACATACCATGCCCCCCAAGTACTGCGTCTAACAGTATGGACAGGCGCCCCACCTGCCTGAGCCTTGACAGGGCAGACATTGACTCAGCGCATGCCCCACGTACCGTGTCCCCCATGTACCGCGTCCTGCACCTACCATGTCCCCCACCTACCACATCTAACAGCATGGACAGGTGCCCCAGCTCTAGATGGCCACACCCGTGTGGCTCCAGCACCGAAAAGGAGTAGACGTCTCCAGACTTGTCGGCCACCAAGACCTTCTCCTCAGAGGCTATGAAGGTCAGGGCTGTACACCTCCTCGCCACAGTCCTAGAAGGCCAGAGAGACACCCCCATTAGCTTCCAGAAGCAGCGCAAGGTCCTTGACAGCCCTGCAGGCCCTGTGGGCAGTGGTAGGCACCAGTACCTGACCATATGCTCTATTTTCCAGCTGCTGAAGATGGTGCCAAAAAAATTAAGCAATGCTAACAACTGGAACAAAGCCAGTGCCTTTGACAAATTTACTTTCACAACATTTTTCTTTAAGAAAATTGCTCCTAGCCGAGCACGGTGGCTCACGCCTGTAATCCCAGCACTTTGGGAGGCCGAGGCGGGAGGATCATGAGGTCAGGAGATTGAGACCATCCTGGCTAACACGGTGAAACCCCATCTCTACTAAAAATACAAAAAATTAGCCGGGCGAGGTGGCGGGTGCCTGTGGTCCCAGCTACTCAGGAGGCTGAGGCAGGAGAATGGCGTGAACCCGGGAGGCGGAGCTTGCAGTGAGCTGAGATGGCGCCACTGCACTCTAGCCTGGGTGACGGAGCGAGACTTCATCTCAAAAAAAAAAAAAAAGAAAAAAAAGAAAATCGTTCCTGATGGTGGGATCTAGGAGGTGGATAAAAGGGTGACAAAATCCTCAACTTTCCTGTGTGTTTGAAAACTGTCATCAAGAAATGGGGGAATGGTTCCTTGACCCCACAGTCTTCATCGTACATTGAGGGAGACAATGGCCCTCTCCATAAATGCTGAGTGTGCTGGGGGCCACTGTCAAGGACAAAGGCAGGCACCAGCCTCCAGGGCCCCCCAAGCCTTGCTGCTCCCCTGACCTGCACTGACCCCTGCTATCATTCTGCTGCGTCGGACCAGGAGCCTCAGACAGACAGCCATGCCCCGTGCCCTGCAGAGGGATGGAGGGGCCTGGCCACCCTCGGCGCAGGACCCAGCCCAGGGCAGCAGTGAGGCAGCACCCTACCCTCCTTGGGAGGAAGCGCCGCTACCCAGCGCGTGAGGCCTGCGCTCCCCACAGTCCACATCCAGATCAGCACATCCACGAATCCAACCCTGACCCAGAGCCACGGATGCGCCAGAGTTCCAGATGCAGCACGTCTGCACACTCGTTCCGTAAGAACCAAAGTGTCAGTTCACTCCCTCTCCTTCACCAGGGCTCAGGGCTACACTACTTCCTGGGGCTCTCATTTCCACACCATTTCTACTGGAATCATCCCGTATTTGTGTCCTTTCCACAAGGCAGGGACCCTGTGTTCTATTTTACATAGATGTGAGTTGTAACACTGCTTCCCACACACGCAGTTAGCCACAGGGCCTCACCGCAGAACAGCGGCCAGCCCTGCTTCACCACCCCCAGCGCTGTGGCGGTGCACACTGCCCAATACACAGCCAACACCAGCAGACAAGTACAGCGTGCCCGGCCCCCTGCGGCTGGAAATGCAGATGGAAGCTTCAGGAATGCTGTCCTCAGCAAGGCCCCTGTTTCTCTCAGGGGCAGAGGGACAAAAGGACAGAAAAGGGCAGGCAGGACCTCTGGGTCACACCCCAGCCTGGAAGCAGCGCCCCTCCTCCTCCCCCGCAGCTGCAGAAAGCAGGCAGAAGGGAAGCATAACAGGGTAAACACAGAGAAAACAAGGACAAAGAAAGATAATTACGCTCTGGGGCAAGATTAATCAGAATTCTCAGGGTGCACTGTAATTTAAACAAACAGCCCTGCACTGCGCCAGCAACACAGCCCCCAATGTCCGATGGGCTCATTAAGCAGCTGCCACAAACACGACCATGGTGGCACAGAGGAGCAGCCCAAGAGGACGCCACGGGGAGGGGAGATGGACTTGGACTCACGGGGCGCTCATCCCCACAGCCAGGCTGGAAGGCGCGTGGCTCAGATGGCCCCCAACACCGCGCCTCCTGCCCAGCTCAGCAGAGGGCACTGCTCCTCGTCCCTTTGTCCTGCCCCAGCCGGAGGCTCCCAGCCTCTCCAGCTGGGCTTATCCTGGCACCGATTCTAGGACACAGCTGAGCCGTACTCACGGGCTTGGGTGCTAGGATCCGAGGGAGGTCACAGAATGGGGCAGGTCATTGGACCAATGGCAAGCCGGCCTGTCACCCTAGCTGAGGCACAACCCCACCCTCAGACCACCAGCCTGTGCAGGGTCTCGGGTCTCAGCACTCCCTCCACAGTCACTGGGTTCAGGACCCAGAGACCAGCAGAACTCAGCAAGTATTCGCCCATCTCCACAGGCCCCCCAGGGGGGCCAGGCTCTCTGTCCTCTGCCGGAAGTCGAGTGGTTGAGCCCTGAACCCCCAGACTGAGTTGGCGCTGCCCCGAGCCCCCCTCCAGAGAGCCGCCTGGGCGGCCCCAACAGGGCACTGAGGACGCCAGGCGCCATCCACACCCACACTCCAGCAGCCAGGCACTCTCTCTCCATCCGACGGGCAGAGCGAATCGGATAGTTTCCCGGCTCGGCCTTTCCCACATGCTGCCGCGGCCCTCACAGGCATTTTCGGAAACACTGACTCCACTGGGAGGATTTCTCCCTCATAAACGCACATGTCAAAATCAATGTATCACTCGTCACCCTGTGTCATCATCTTCGGTTTGGAAAACCTGGCCACAGTCTCTCGGGCCAGGAGTCTCCTGACTGCCCAGGTGGCAGGCCCTCTGGCCCTCGCGGTTCTAAACCGCTACCTGGGCAAGAATCGTTGCTGCCCACAACTTCCATCTTGGCTGTGCCTCAAAACCCTTCAACAGGAAGCTTACCAGCAGCAGCACAGTAACTAAGCCACCACTGGACAGATCCTGGCGTCTCGCCCAGCTCAGGGGCATCCTGCAGCGGTGCAGGGCCTCAGTGAAACGCACATAGGCCACGAGTACATGGAACCTCTAAAACTGAATGGCGGTGGATGTGCAAAGCGTAGGTGGTTTTCTGGGGAGAGGGTGCATCTGATCTAAGAGTCTGCGTAAAAAGCCTCCAGGTGTGGGGAGCAGCCCCATGTTTGCGGACCAGCCGCAGGGTGCTGCCTGCCAGCTCAGCATGGTTCCACTCACCCCCGTCCTCTCCTTGAAAGCAGCTCCTCATAAAACTCACCCTATGCTCTTCTCCCTGCCCCACTCTCATCCCCCAAATGTACTCCTCCTGCCACAATAATCCCCTCCAATTTCTCACTGAGAGAAAGGGTAAAGATTTCACTCCACCTGATGCTGAAAACTTTACAAACCCACAATTCTAAAGGAATTTTTAAAAGATTATTGAGGAATTTGCCAAGGGATGCTGAAAGTGGCAGTAACTTCACACCTGTGCCCACTGTCCTGCAGTTCAACTAGAGAAAGGGGAGGCAGCAACGCGTGCCCTATACCAAGGTCAGGAGAAATCCCAAGCACACCATCGAGGCCGGAGTTTGTAATTTGCTGCCTGGACTGCATCAAATCACAGGGTCCATCTTCCATACCACCTAAGGCAAACATTTCCTACACGAACTTATACCGCTGACATCACTTTCAAAACCAAGAGCAGGCCGGGAGCAGTGGCTCACGCCTGTAATCCTAGAGGTTTGGGAAGCCAAGGTGGGCAGATCACCTGAGGTCAGGAGTTCAAGACCAGCCTGGCCAACGTGGCAAAACCCCATCTCTACTGAAAATACAAAAAATTAGTCAGGCATGCTCGTTCATTCCTATAATCCCAGCTACTCAGGAAGCTGAGGCAGGAGAATCACTTGAACCCAGGAGGCGGAGGTTGCAGTGAGCCAAGACCACGCCACTGCACTCCAGCCTGGGTGACAGAGAGACGCTCCACTCCACGCACACACACACAAAAAAAACAGTGAACTCACAGGTAAAGGGTCACTGCCAGGAGCCAGCCTCTGCTCCTTGCTCACACAGCGCAGGCTGCCCATCCCTCATCCCAAATGCGTGGGACCAAAAGTGCTTTGCACTTCAGATTTGTTCAGGTTTTGGAATATTTGCAAATACTTACTGGCTCAGTATCCCTAACCTAAAAATCCAAAATCCAAAACATTCCAGTGAGCATTTCCTTTGAGCATCTTGCCTGTGCTCAAAAAATTTCAGATTTTGGAGGATTCTGAATTTCAGATTGGGGTACTGAGTGCACTGCCCACTCTTGGACTTGCGCTTTTTGTTTTTTTTTTTTGGAGAGATGAGATCTCACTATGTTGAGGCCGGACTGGCCTCGAACTGCTGGCCTCAAGCAATCTTCTCGCCTTGGCCTCTCAAAATGCTGGGACTATAGGCGTGAGCTACCATGCCAGCCTCCCAGAGTTTTACCAGGTGTTTACATAAAGAGAATCACACCAGCACACGACCTTCAAAAGGGGAGTCAACACAGCAAGACATCTCCCTCTCGGCAAAGCACCTGCAACCAAGATGAAGAGGCCCCGCCCCCCACCAGGCGGCAGCGGTGTCTGCACCCACTGTGAGTCCCAAATCACAGAGCTCCCAACCTCAAACGGCCTCCGAGAACCTCAAACCTCCTCCGAGAACCTCAAACAGCCTCCTCCGAGAAGCCGACTGCACAGGCAACCACATTGAGGGGAGAGAATTCTAGATTCCTCCCTGCTCCGGGCCATGCACGATGCCAGGAGCAGAGGCCCCGTCCCTCTGCAGGAGTCAGAACCCCTGGAGGAGCCCTGGGCCTCCGCGCTTCCATCAAGGTGAAGAAGCTCCACGGTTAGGAACCAGGACACAGCGAGCAGGCAGACTGGACATACCCTTTCTCCCAAGTTCAAAGTGAGACACGACCTCTGGACAGCGAGCCCACATTGAAGTAAAGTGACATTCCACCCACGTCTCCATCTTTCTGGTGACCTCAGAACTTCACAGCCACAGCACTGTCCAGACTTGAAAGAGTTAGCATGTTCAAGACACGAGCAAGCTCCCTGCCCCTCACCCCTACCCCCCGCCAGGCCTGCGGCACATACGGCCAGATCCTGCCTCCTCTACCCTCTGCAGGCAGTGGCTACTTCTCAAATGGTGTCTGGTACCAGACATCAAAAGCCTTGGCACAGGGTACCCCCTCTGCACAGTGAAGAATTAACCTTGCCTTTGGCCTCATCTCTAAGAGTAGGGGCCTTGGGCCCCACAGGCAGCCTCAGTATGTGATTTAGGGCAGGGGCCTGTGGCCACAAGGTGTCCACTCCACCTCTGGAGGGGCTGGGAACTAAATGTCGGCCACCGACAGCATGTGATCAACCCCAAGAAAACTGCCGGACACCAAGGCTTGGGAGGCTTCGCTGTGTGCGTTGTCACACATCAGTGCCAGTAAACCCACGCTGTCCACACCTCTGCAGTCCCACTTGCTCTGACTCAAACTTCCCAGAGTTTAAAGGCAGGAAGAAGTACAAAGAAACAGTAGCATTTGAACAGTGGAACAGTGCAAACAATCGAATGGCCCAGCTACAGGAATGACACAGTGTTGTCAACTGCCCTGGGTGGGGAAACAGGCTACAGGCTAGCACATGCCACCGCAACAATGTAACGCATGCAAATACTGTAATCCATCTGCAGAGACGAGGAGGGCCTGGCCCCAGTGCTCATCACATACTCTGACTCTGGGTGGTGAGATTCAGGGTGGTTTTTGTTACTGTTCTCATTTGTACTTCTCAGTGGTTTCCAATTTTCTGTACGGACCAAAACCAAAGGATAAAAAAGGCAAAAGGTAGCACGGGAGGACACCGAACTGTACTCTAGGGGAAGCAGACAAGTGAGAATTTGCTCTCAACTTCTACGACCCCACTCACCATAGCTGAACGGGAATCCACACATTCCACTGTCGTCTAAGTAACTGGATCAAGTCTGAGATCCACATACACATCAGCACGTGGATCTCAGCTCTGCACCTGTTCTCGACCCCAGGGCTTTGAAGTTAAGGCAAGGGTACTGGAAAATGCTAATCCAGTCTCACTGGTTACCGGTGCAGCTCACCTTACACACCTGTGCCACAGAAAGGCCATGTGAGAGCGATACTTTGGTAGATGGGTTTATTCTGTAAAAATAAAGTGTCCTAATATAAAGAGCTCCTACAAACCAATAAACAATACCCCAATGGAAAAACATAGGATATGAAAAAAAAAACAGCTTACAAAACACAAATGATTCTTAAGTACATAAAAAGTTGCTCTTCCAGCTGGGCACCAGTGGCTCACACCTGCAATCCTGGCACCTTGGGAGGCCGAGGCGGGTGGATCACCTGAGGTCAGGAGTTCAAGACCACCCTGGCCAACATTATGAAACCCTGTCTCTACTAAAAAAAATTGAAAAAATTAGGCAGTCATGGTGATGCATGCCTGTAATCCCAGCTACTCAGAAGGCTGAGGCAGGAGAATCACTTGAACCTGGGAGGTGGAGGTTGCAGTGAGCCAAGATCGTGCCATTGCCCTCCAGCCTGGGCAACAAGAGCGAAACTCCATCTCAAAAACAAAAAACAACAACAAAAAAAAATGCTGACCACCAGTAGACGGACAGTCAAGAAAATTGCTGTAGCTGGACTCAGTGGCTCATGCCTGTAATCCCAGCATTTTGGGAGGCCGAGATGAGTGGATCACCTGAGGTCAGGAATTCAAGACCAGCCTGGCCAAAAGGCAAAACCCCATCTCTACTAAAAAGACAAAAATTAACTGGGCATTGTGGTAAGCGCCTGTAATCTCAGCTGCGCGGGAGGCTGACGCAGAAGAATCGCTTGAACCCAGGAGGTGGAGGCTGCAGTGAGCCGGGATTGGGCCACTGCATTCCAGCCTGGGTGACAGAGCAAGACTGTCTCAAAACAAATAAACAAATAAATAAATTGCAGAGCATACGGCCTAGCCCAGATGAAATAAATGACAAAGTCTGCACTTTCACAAGACACCCAGGTGGCTCTTGTGCACATGCCTGTCAGAGCTCAGCCAGGTCCTTTACTTTAGGAAAATAATTACCAGGCCGGGTGCGGTGGCTCACTCCTATAATCCTACCACTTTGCGGGGCTGAGAATTCTAAACCTTGAGGTCAGGAATTCTAAACCAGCCTGACCAACATGATGAAACCCCTTCTCTACTAAAAATATAAAAAATTAGCCAGGCATGGTGGCACATGCTTGTAATCCCAGCTACTTGGGAGGCTGAGGCAGGAGAATTGCTTGAACCTGGGAGGCAGAGGTTGCAGTGAGCTGAGATCGCACCATTGCACTCCAGCCTAGGCAACAAGAGTGAAACTCCGCCCCCTGAAAAAAAAATTTTTTTTAATGACCATCAGATTCTTTTAGATCATTTCATTTTTACCTTTTGGGAGTCAAAGCCCCCTTTGAGAATCTCATGTGAATTATGAAAGCTCTCCACAGCAGCCAGTGTCCAAAAGGCAAGACGAACTGTTATGTGCTTAACTGAATCCCCCAATCCACAACTCCTGTGTGGAAGCCCTGACCTACCTACGACCTCAGAATGTAACTGTATTTGGATGGGACCTTTACGGAGGTGAAACAGAGGCCAATGGGGCAGTCCTGACCCCATCTGACCGGTCTCCTTTCAGGAATAGGAAATGAGGACACAGACACAAAAGGACGACTCTGTGAAGACACAGGGAGAAGACACCATCGGCAAGCCAGGGAGAGAGTCCTCTGAGGAACCAGCCCTGCCCTGCCAGCCCCTTCATCTTGGTCTTCCAACCTCTACAACTGTGAGAAAATTGTTAAGACCCCTAGTCTGTGGTATCTTGTTAGGCAGCCCAAGCAGACTAGGACAACTACCATCTTCTTTCAACACTGAGAGGGTGAAAACCTATCCATCCCTCCTTCCCACAAGCTGTCTGAGAAATCCAAAGTCAAGGCCAACCTACTAGAAAGCCCCTGCCACCTGCAGAGATCCCTGTGGAGGGCGCAGGGCAGGACACCTCAAGGCCACCTTGAGGCATTCACCCTGAATCCTGAAAATACTTCCCATCTTCTCTATTCTAGGTCCTAAATGACTTACTCATGTTGCAGCTATCTTAGCAAGAGGCTGCCGTTCACAGGTCTTTCAAGATAAAGATGATGCAATCCACAGCAGTCAGGTGGAAGCAGCCATTTATTATCAGTTATGACTCGGACATGTGGGGACATGCAGTTAAAAGTCATTTTCCTACTGGGAAACCATCACTGCCTATGGGAAAGGAGCTGGAAGGCAGGTGAGAAGGGAGGCTGTTGCATATGCTTTGGTTTAATTTTGTTGTGTTTTAAGTTTTTAAACCATGCGCATCTATTACCTACCTGATACACAAAAACATATTGTGAATCACATACACGTAAAAACATGTATAGTAAAACCCATATACACAAAAACACATAAAGTAGAAATGATGCAGCGTTTCAGGGCTTTCTTTTTAACCTGACTGGAAGAGAGGACAGAACAGGCATTCATTGCTTTTGATGCCACCTAGAATTTGGTTTTTTTTTTTGAAATGGAGTTTTGGAGTTTTGCTCTTGTTACCCAGGCTGGAGTGTAATGGCATGATCTTGGCTCACTGCAACCTCCGCCTCCTGGGTTCAGGAGATTCTCCTGCCTCAGCCTCCCGAGTAGCTGGAACTACAGGCATGTACCACCATGCCCGGCTAATTTTGCATTTTTAGTAGAAACGGGGTTTTGCCATGTGGGACAGGCTAGTCTCGAACTCCTGACCTCAGGTGATCCACTCTACCTGCCTCGGCCTCCCAAAGTGCTGGATTACAGGTGGGAGCCACTGCGCCCAGCTGAATTTGGATTTTTACTCTTCTCTTTGAAAATGAGATGAACCTGGGAGCGGTGGGTCAAGCCTGTAATCCCAGCACTTTGGGAGGCTGAGCCGGGTGGATCACCTGAGATCAGGAGTTCGAGACCAGCCTGGCCAATGTGGTCAAACTCCGTCTCTAGCAAAAAATACAAAAATTCTTGGGCATGGTGGCATGCACCTATAGTCCCAGCTACTCGAGAGGCTGAGGTGGGAGAATTGCTTGAACCCAGGAGGCGGAAGCTGCAGTGAGCCAAGATCGCACCGCCGCACTCCGGCCTGGGTGACAGAATTAGACCCTTCTCAAAAAGAAAAAAAAAAGAAGATGAAATAAAAATCTTAAAGACAGGCCGGGTATAGTGGTTCACACCTGTAATCCCAGCAGTCTGGGAGGCCAAAGCCAGCAGATCACCCTGAGGTCAGGAGCTCAAGACTGGTCTGGCTAACATGGTGAACCCTCGTCTCTAGTAAAAATACAAAAAATTAGCCAGGCATAGTGGCGAGGGCCTGTAATCCCAGCTACTCGGGAAGCTGAGGCAGGAGAATCGTTTGAACCTGAGAGGTCAAGGTTGCGGTGAGCGAAGATCGCCGCACCACTGCACTCCAGCCTGGGCAACAAGAGTGAAACTCCATCTCAAAAAAATAAAAAAAGAGGACTAGGGAAGGCAGAAGAACCTTTCTGGACTTTGCTTGGTAAGAGGGCAAGGCATAGCGATATCTCCGTTCTTGTCAGAGTTACTGGCCTCCTCATCCACACGGATGCACTCCCCATCCACTCTTCAGACACTCAGACATATGTGCACTAAACCCACCCTCAACAGACCCCAAATCCCTACCACTCTCCAGTGCAGGCCCACAGCCTCCTTCCCGCTAATCACAACGACAGAGGACCGCCCTGGAAGGCAGGGGCACCGGCACCAACACTGCAGCCGGAGGGACCAGCCACAGGGCCCGGCTCTGTCCTCCAAGCCCACTCACCAGAGGTCTGCTACCTAACTCTTCACCACCCAACGGGGAACAGAACAGCACCCCTGCACCCTCCCAGAGCTGCTGTGAGGATCAGATCAGCCAACACACATACGGCACTGAGCGGTGCCTGGCACCGAACTGCAGCTCCATGTCAATCACTTATCACCATGTTATGGTCACTATTGCTACAGGCATGCAAGGACAAGGTGTGCATTCGACAGCTTAATAATCCAGCGTTAGCATCTCATACCTGACACTCAGACATTGCCATGGTTTTGTACGGAAAAGAATCAGACGCTTACTGTCATCGGTTAAAGCAAAATAGCTGCCAGACTTGGAGAAGGTGGACGCCAGAATCACACCGCTCCCCTGGTCCAAGGGCGCGTCCTCCCTGAGGAAGAGAGGAAGACAGTTAAGCTTCTGCAAAGGAAATAAGAATGCATTCCCCCATGGCCAGCATGGTAATTTCTAACATGGGAGGAGGTAGAAACTGTTAAGGGGTTCATGTAGCCAAATTACAGACATACTAAAAGGACATGGGGAAGTTCCAAACAGCTCTAATTTTATCAGCGTGAAGCCTAACTAAAGAGAAAATCTCCCAGCATACGTGCCAGAACCCAGAGAGCTAAGCTGGAAGAACTCTCAAAGACACATGACCCTCTTCCTCACGGGCAAGGACTAACCCAAGGCTAGAGGCAGGGATAAACTCACACTAAAAATACTAGTAACAGGCCCGGTGTGGTAGCTCACACCTATAATCTCAGCACTATGGGAGGACAAGGCGAGAGGATCGCTTAAGCTCAGGAGCTCAAGCCCAGCCTGGGCAACATGGCGAAACCATGTCTCTACAAAAAACTACAAAAATTAGGCAGCCTGGGCGCAGTGCCTCACGCCTGTAATCCCAGCACTTTGGGAGACCGAGGAGGGTGGATCACGAGGTCAGGAGATGGAGACCATCCTGGCTAACACAGTGAAACCCCATCTCTACTAAAAATACAAAAAAAACTAGCCGGGTGTGGTGGCAGGTGCTTGTAGTCCCAGCTACTCCAGAGGCTGAAGCAGGAGAATGGCGTGAACCCAGGAGGCAGAGCTTGCAGCGAGCTGAGATCGCGCCACTGCGCTCCAGCCTGGGCGACAGAGCAAGACTCTGTCTAAAAAAAACAAAAAAAAGGTATGTGATTACTGACAGAAACCAAAAGGATTTAGAAAAGTCCTAACACTGTGTTTTTGTTTTTGTTTTTTTGAGACGGAGTCTCGCTGTGTCACCCAGGTTGGAGTGCAGTGGCGTGATCTCGGCTGACTGCAACCTGTCTCCCAGGTTCAAGTGATTCTCCCGCCTCAGTCTCCTCCTCAGTAGCTGGAACTACAGGTGCCTGCCACCATGCCTGGCTAATCTTTTTATTTTTAGTTGAGATGGAGTTTCACCACATTGGCCAGGCTGGCTTCGAACTTCTGAACTCAGTGATCCTCCCACCTTGGCCTCCCACAGTGCTGAGGTTATAGGCATGAGTCACCGCACCTGGCACTAACACTGTACTCTTTTTCGTTGTTGTTGTTGTTGGAGACAGAGTCTTGCTCTATCCCCCAAGCTGGAGTGCAATGGCTCGATCCTGGCTCACTGCAACCTCCACCTTCCAGGTTCAAGAGATTCTCGTGCCTCAGCCTCCCAAGTAGATGGGATTACAGGTGCCTGCCACCACGTCCAGCTAACTTATTTTTAGTAGAGACAGGGTTTCGCCATGTTGGCCAAGATGGTCTGGAACTTCTGACCTCAGGTGATTCATCCTCCTTGGCCTCCCAAAGTGCTGGGATTACAGGCATAAACCACCACGCCCGGCCAACAATGTACTCTTAATGCCTAACTTGAAAGTTACTTTTACATGTCTCTGCTGAGGTGGTACTTACCCGCACCACTGTGTGACAGAAGCTAAGAATTCAGCAAGTAAGACAATAATCGCTTCTTAGACCCTCTGGTCCCATTATCGAACCATTAAATCAGGCCCTGAAAAGCTTCCCCACATCTCACCCTTTATTTTCTTGTGACTTCTTTTCCGCAGCACTGCAGTCATAGATGAAGAGGCTGTCATCGTCACTAAAGAGAAATAACAGAATGATTTTAAAAGGAGTTACCATTAGACAGAAATAGCAACTTTTTAAATATTTTTTTTCTTTTTTTTTTTGAGACGGAGTTTCACTCCCATTGCCTAGGCTGGAGTGCAATGGCACGATCTTGGCTCATCACAACTTCTGCCTCCTGGGTTCAAGTGATTCTCCTGTCTCAGCTTCCCGAGTAGCTGGGATTACAGGCATATGCCACCATGCCCGGCTAATTTCGCATTTTTAGTAGAGACGGGGTTTCGCCATGTTAGCCAGGCTGGTCTCAAACTCCTGACCTCAGGTGATCCGCCCACCTCAGCCTCCCAAAGTGCTGGGATTATAGGTAGAACCACTGCACCCAGCCTAACAATGATTTTTATTTTTATTTTTTGAGACGGAGTTTCGCTCTTGTTGTCCAGGCTAGAGTGCAATGGTGCAATCCTGGCTCACTGCAACCTTGGCCTCCCAGGTTCAAGCCATCCTCCTGTCTCAGCCTACCAAGTAGCTGGGATTACAGGCATGCACCACCACACCCGGCTAATTTTGTATTTTTAGTAGAGATGGGTTTCTCCATGTTGGTCAGGCTGGTCTCGAACTCCTGACCTCAGGTGATCCGCCTGCTTCGGCCTCCGAAAGTGCTGGGATTACAGGCGTGAGCCACCATGCTCCGCCTGCCTAACAATGATTTGTAAAGGAGCACTTTATTAAAATAAAACAAAACAAAAAAATGTTGATTTTTTTTTCTCTGTGGAACAAAAAATATTTGCATACTCATTAAAAGTCTTTCCTAGACAAGAAAACTGTCTAGATACAATATTTCAGAAAACAGTTAACAAACTTTATTTGCTTAATCTCTTATTGGAATATGTCATACACTACCTGCACAGTTCTGTGGGAAAAAAAAAGTTCAGTAAAACAAATGAGGGATAAATACTCAACAGGTATTACTATGCTATTCTCTCAGGCACCAGAAAATCTATGCCGCATGGTTATAAGAAATCATGTTCTGATACTGTTGAGTTTTCAGTGGGATTCTGTATACAAATTTCAAAGAGCCATTACTTATTTAGAAACATATCTCACCTACCTGAAAATGTTCCCATGACCCCAAGCACGTACCAACATAAGAATTACCCATCTTCCACACCGAACCTAAACGCTAAACTCTCTTCGGTTTATCCCATCCCACCCCCCGGCACGTATCCTGTACATATTTATAGCTTTTAAAGTGAGTGCACCAAAAAACTTTCCATATGGAACCGCAGACTTGTCTTCCAAGTCAGAAACTCCACTAACCACTAGAATTTCCTCAAAATGCATAGACTGAAGGTAAGCAGATCATGTCTAATACATCCACAGCTCACTCTGGCAGGTATTAGACCGGGAGTCTAAAACAAAATCATCTGGGATACGTGACAAGTTTCCGAGTACAATTTTTGTGAGACCTAATTTAACATCGAATTGGCTTTCTGAAACCAAACGAATATACAGTCCATGTGACAGACACGTCGTCCGTTTCAAGTATGAAATCACAAATAACCTGGGAAAGAAAACGAGGGGCTGAAACTAATTGCTCCTAGAGTCCTGAGTTAAGACTATTCCATCGGCCGGGCGCGGTGGCTCAAGCCTGTAATCCCAGCACTTTGGGAGGCCGAGACGGGCGAATCACGAGGTCAGGAGATCGAGACCATCCTGGCTAACACGGTGAAACCCTGTCTCTACTAAAAAATACAAAAA